TCCCCAGGTCCTTTTCTGCAGAACTGCCGCTTAGCCAGTTGGTCCCCAGCCTGTAGCAGTGCATGGGATTCTTCCATCCTAAGTGCAGGACTCTGCACTTGTCATTATTGAACCTCATCAGATTTCTTTTGGCCCAATCCTCCAATTTGTCTAGGTCTCTCTGGATCCTATCTCTACCCTCCAGCGTATCTACCTCTTCCCCCAGCTTAGTGTCATCTGTAAACTTGCTGAGGGTGCAATCCATCCTATCATCCAGATCATTAATGAAGATGTTGAACAAAACCGGCCCCAGGACCGATCCCTGGGGCACTCCACTTGATACCGGCTGCCAACGAGACATCGAGCCATTGATCACTACCCGTTGAGCCCAACGATCTAGCCAGCTTTCTATCCACCTTATAGTCTGTTCATCCAATCCAATTCATCCAATACTTTTTTAACTTGCTGGCAAGAATACAGTGGAAGACTGTATGAAAAGCTTTACTAAAGTCAAGATATATCACATCCACCGCTTTCCGCATATCCACAGAGCCAGTTATCTCATCATAGAAGGCAATCAGGTTGGTAAAGCATGACTTGCTCTTGGTGAATCCATGTTGACTATTCCTGATCACCTTCCTGTCCTCCAAGTGCTTGAAAATTGATTGCTGAGGACGTGCTCTATGATTTTTCCAGGGACTGAGGTGAGGCTGACCGGTCAGTAGTTTCCCGGATTCTCCTTCTTCCCTTTTTGAAAGATGGGCACTATATTTGCCTTTTTCCAATCATTTGGGACCTCCCCCAGTCACCATGAGTTTTCAAAGATAATGGCCAATGACCCTGCAATCACATCAGCCAACTCCCTCAGCACCCTCGGGTGCATTAGATCCAGACCCATGGAATTTTGCATGTCCAGCTTTTCTAAATAGTCCTTAACATGTTCTTTCACCGCTGAGGGCTGCTGACCTCCTCCCCATACTATGCTGTTCCGTGCAGCAGTCTGGGAGCTGACCTTGTCTGTGAAGACCAGCATAAAAAAAGCATTGAGTACTTCAGCTTTTTCCACATCATCTGTAACTAGGTTGCCTCCCCCATTCAGTAAGGGTCCCAGACTTTCCCTGACTTTCTTCTTGTTGCTAACATACCTGTAGAAGCCCTTGTTACCCTTCACATCCCTTGCTAGTTGCACCCTCAATAAGGCTTCTTTAAAATACAGCCAGCTCTTCTGGACTCCTTTCCCGCTCATATTAGCCTTCCAGGGGATCCTGCCCATCAGTTTCTTGAGGGAGTCAAAGTCTGCTTTTCTGAAGTCCAGGGTCCGTATTCTGCTGCTCTCCTTTCTTCATTTTGTCAGGATCCTGAACTCGACCATCTCATGGTCTCTGCTCCCCAGGTTCCCACCCACTTCTGCTTCCCCTGCCAATTCTTTTCTGTTTGTGAGCAGCAGGTCAAGAGGAGCATGGCCCCTAGTCGGTTCCTCCAGCACTTGCTCCAGGAAGTTGTCCCCAACACTCTCCAAAAACTTCATGGATTGTCTGTACACCTCTGTATTGCTCTCCCAGCAGATGTCAGAGTGATTGAAGTCCCCCATGAGAACCAGGGCCTGTGATCTGGAAACTTCTGTTAGTTGTCCAAAGAAAGCCTTGTCTACCTCATCATCCTGGTCTGGTGATCTATAGCAGATGCCCACCACGACATCACCCTTATTGCTCTATATCTCTATAGAAAGTAAACTGGCAGCCCTGCTCCAGTGAACCCCAATGAGCAACATATCCTGTACACAGCTAAAGGTAGAACTAGTATTTTGAAGAAGACTGACCAGTATAATCTTTCACCCTTCTTTAAATACAGCAGAGATTAAAAAAATGCAGTTGCCAATAGCAATTCAAATAATTGCTCAGGTAATCAGTGCAGGAAGGTTCAAAGTGGAAGGTATGTACCAATATGCAGCGTCAGCATTTCCTTTGGCAGCCTTATCTAGCAAAATGAGAGCATGTAGGGCTACCCATTTACCAGGAAAGATCAGACTATGATTGGACTGTCATGTTTGGACCCCACCGCCATGGTTGGACCAAAACAAACTGAGGGCTTCCTTCTCAGTCCTACAGAAAATTCCTCCGTGGAGCTATTTGGGCTGAAGGTATATTGATGGCTTGGCAGCAAGGATGTAGTTTGGTTGGATGAGGCTTGGGTATCAGTTTTGCCAAACCAGGAACATGATCAAGAATAATCATTAGGCATAACTGGAAAGCAGCAGCATGAATGATTTCATGTCTATTCCAAGGATTTGGGATTTTTTGAGATACAAGATTATGCCTCTGGTACGATAAGGTTTGGACCTCATAGATGAAAGTGAGGAAATTAGATTCACCTGGGAAGCTACTTAAGCCTAGCAGATTGAGAGAAAGTATGCATACTCCTAAACAAAAAGAAAGAAAACAACTGCCTGGTTAAAGGGCAACAAGGTACAAGAGATTTTTCATTTATGCAGAAATGGAAAGCCAGCCCAATCAAGACAATTAAAAGGAGCATACAGTATGGCAGGTAAAATGCATGATGAAAATTAGTAGGGAAAATGAACAGCAAGTAGTCAAAGGCTTTGTCTGCACTGGTACTTTTGTTGGCAAAACTTTTGTTGGTCAGGGGTGTGAAAAAACACAACCCTGATTGACGTAAATTTCACCGACAAAAGTGCTGGTGTGGACAGTACTATGTCAGCAGGAGAGGCTCTCCTGCCGATACAGCTAACGCTGCTTGTGGGGGCGGTTTAATTATGCTGGCAGGAGAGTTCTCTCCTACCAGCAAAGAGTGACTACATGGGAGACCTTACAGCGGCACAGCTGTAGCAATACAGCTATGCCACTCTAAGGTCTGTAGTATAGACATAGTCAAAGACTTAAAAGTAAACCATACATTCTCATAACCCCAGTTCTGTAAAAACATAACATGTGCTTAACTTTACTCCTAAGTGTAATTCCACTGAAGTCATTTTCCCTCATGGAAGTCAATGGGACTTCTCACAGATATACGTCTTCGCAGAATCTCGGGGTATCGAGAAGGCAGAAGATTGCAAGTAAAATAGTGGGTCTTCTGGACTGTCAGGGAGCAAAGGGAGCCCTTAAGGATATGACATTTCTGAGATGCTAAATAATTTATTTGCAGCAGTTTTTACCTCAGAGGATATTGGATAGATATCCAAATTTACTTTTTTCCTGACAATAAAGCTGAAGCACCGTCAATCAAAGGCAAAGGTGCAAGAATAAACAGATAAATTAAATAGCAACAAGTTGTGTTGTGTTGTACTGTTAACAATATATTTTAAAAACACAATTTGAAATTGATAGATGTTTGTCTGAATGTATTTCTTCAGAAAGGTTCCACTGTATCTTAGAAGCAGCATATCTGCTATGTGATGCAGGGGTTGCTATGGTGAGTTCACATATCTTATTTAATACTGTACCAGAGTAAATAGACATTGTAACAATCTCTGTTAGTGCTGCTATTAGTAAGGCAATGTCAGCATTTTTCTCATAAATACTTGTTTTCATGATGAAACTTGGCCTAAAAGGTCTAACCTAAAGGAGAAAAAAGAAGGCTTTTCAAAACCAAACCAACAGCTTCCTTACTTTTTTTGAATGCATGTGTTTTATATGTATAATATGGATGTATGTGTACACATAAAGTGAAGAAATATTAGTGAGAGATATTTTGTTTGTTAAAAAAGATTCAAAGTTTATTGTGCCAATCCTACTTTTTAAATCCTCTCACTCCAAAACGGCTTTTTGGGTTGTTGTTTACTTTATTGAAATGTGTAGGCTATTAACACAAGAGGTTGATTATAATGTTTTGTATTTAGGAAAACTTTTATTATTTGAGGCTCAGTTTTCATTTACACTAAGGCCCCTTTACACAGCATAAGAAGCCCCTCAAATCTGTGTAAATTACATTGTACTCAATTTACAGCCTCTTTGTACTGCCAGAGACGCTAAAGGGACATTTGTGTAAATGAGAATCAGGCCTTTAACTACATAATGACTCCGTTAACTAAATGGCACCAGAATTTAACTTACAGACATGACAGTCCATTGTTTTAGAACAATTATTTGATCTGTATTCCAGGATAACATATAATACAGCAGGGCATTGATAAGTAAATCTTTTATAAATCTATTTATTTTTCTAATCTTTAGCTCTGGAAAAAGTTAAATAACTTTCTGAGAGGGCCTATCCTTTGCACTTGGTGAGATCTCGCATTGTGTTTGGTATGTCTCTATCAGTGTTCACACATTAGTTTGTAAGTAGAGCTGATTGAAATTTTTCCATCAACTTTTTGTTTTTGTTTTTGACAGAAAATCAGGTTTTCAACTAACTGAAAATTATTGCAGGAAATGTCTTTTCCTCAAAAAAAATTCCCCACTGGACAATCAGAAATTTTGAGCCAGAAACTGCAACAACAACAACAACAACAAACCCACTGAAAAGCCCCAACAATTGATTTTCAACTTAAAATCTTCATCTTTCACGTTTGGGGTTTTTTTGATTAAAAATCAACATTTTACATGGAAAACCTCTCACCTGCTATTTTCCACCAGCTCTTTTTGTAAGACCTAATTACACCTTATTCTTGTATGTGTAATATTGGGACTTGCATATGAGCTAATGTGTGGCACTTGTGGAGTCCATAAGTTAGGAGCAGGAATAGTTCCAATCAATCAGTTAGAGTAAATGGAGTTCTCAGGACCAGAGTGTTTCTCCTGCCTGAACACGTGAGGTTGAGCAAACACATCCTTCCTAGCAGCTAGGAGAAAAGGGGAGGGAGATATAAATGAAAAACCTCCAACCTGTCTGCACATCATCAACTGGCAAAGGAAGGGGTAAAAGCTATTTTTCTGTCTATTCAGTGCCACAGCCAGAAAGAGAGAGGAAATAAGGCATCAGATTCGGCCCTGTCTTATGCCATATGCCACATATAGAAGTTAGGTTTGCTTAAGGTATAAATCAAGGCCTGTTGTGAAAAATAGAAGTGTTGGGAACCTCCAGAAAAATTGTTTTGATATCCTGGCATTGCAAGGTTTGTTTTAAGATGTTATAATATCAGGACATCACTCCTCCATTATTTGATCAGTCTCTGGAACGCCATTTGATGTAATGGATGTCCCATGCTACAAGGTTAAATATTATTGGGCTGCAGAAAGATGACAGAGAGAACACTATATTAAATAAAATGTTACTCCTGGGAGAATTGTGCGCCCACCGCGCGTGCACAGAATTTGTGTTCCCCGCAGATTTCTTTGCTTCCCTGCAGAAAAATGACTTTTTGATAGGGAAGCAAAGGGAAGCTGCAAGAGCAGTCACACACCACTCCCTAGCTGCACAGGTACATCATTTCAGGCACCTGGAGCAGCCAACGGAGAGGTAAATCAATGCAGGGCTGGAGACACTCCAGCCAGTGGCTCCTACCCTGAGCCAGGATCAGCTGCTAGTCCCGGCTGGGCTGAAGGCAGGAGAGGACAGGACTTCCTCTTCCCCTGCAAGGATTGTCTGGGGCTGTGTCAGACCCACCCCCGAAACCTCCCCCAGTTGCAGGAAGCTCAGCATCCTCCCCTGCTTCCTGCCCCCATTGCTCCTCAGCTGCAGAGGGAGGGGTCATTGTACGGGGAGCTGCTCCCTCATCTGCCCAACCCCCGTACATCTGGATCTCCCATATCCAGACACCCCCGCCAAGCCTCACCCCATACACCCAGAATCCCCCTAGCCTTCCATACCCAAACCCCACCCTATTGAACCTGAATCCCTGCATCTGGAGCCCCCTGCACTCAGGCCTCCGGACCCCCACTCCTGCACCCAGAGCACCCCTCACTGAGCTCTCTGCACTCAAACCCCCACTCTGATAAGCCCCACCCCCTGCACCATCCTAAGCCCCCACATCCAAACCCCCATGCCACTGACCCCCAATTACCGGATCAAAGAGCTCACCTATACATGGGCAGGGAGGGAAGTGAAGTAAGTACTGTTCTTTTTAGCTGATGGGGTGATTTTGCAATTTTAAAGAATATATGTTTCTATGCACCAATTAAAATAATCAAACTTTGCAAAGTGATGCTGTATACTGGGAAAAGTAACCATTTACCTGATCCTCTCTAGGCTAATTCCATGTGTCAGCCAAACTTCATGGCACCTAAAACATAAAAAATTGTAATTTTAAATTCACTTATCTCACCGATCTTTGTTATTTGGAGCGTTCAGCACATGTAGCTTTACAGTTAACTACTTTTTAAAAATATGCATTGCAGGTCATCTTTATAGCTGAAAGTCAACCCATAATTTGCCTATCAGTACCTGTGTTTTGCAATGTCTGATGTCATGGGCATATATTACATTTTTGAGGAACAATGGACTGAGTTTAAGACTGTGTCTTAACTACAAATTTACTTGCTCTTCATTTTGTGAAAGACTTGGCATTTCATAAATATAGTTGTTACTTTGGAAGAGTTGCAGTTACTTTTCTCTATTTTTTTATAGATACTTCATAAATTGGTTCTAGAAATACCTGCTCCTCTATTACATCAATAGAGCTGTAGATTGTAGATCTTGAAAGCCATTCCACAGCCACACCTGCTACCTTCCATTAGCTGGAAGAAGAAGATTCTCTTTCAATCTTGCTGGGCCACAATGATTTGCTGACTGGTTTGTGTTCCATTTGCAGATGTTCAAGACATAAGGCTATAGCCTGTAGCATTTACTCCATTTTTCTGGTTACACAAGCAACTTCCATGCCTTATGGAACTATACCTTTCTCTATGGAATCAAATATTTTTCTTTCTGATCTGTGCTCCAATTCTTGGGAAAATGTATCATTCCTAGGAGCATTTGTTTATGAAAGTGTTTTTACCCTGACAGGTTGTGAGATATCAAACATTAAAAATTATATCATTCTATTTATTATTTTGGATTTTTTTCCACCTTAGTTTTGACATGATTTTAGTTACTATTGAGAACAACTATATCCAGAAACCAGTGATTTATTCTTTTAGGACCAACTTATAATAACCCTACTCATATTGAAACCAATGGAATCACTTGGAGTAAATTTGCTATTGAATGGCTAACCCCTTGAGTAAGTTACTGTTCAGTGTGGAAGGGGCATCATTTGATCCTTAATGTCTGGAAGACCAGCTTTCAAGTAGAGTAAAACATTAGACTCTAACTTTAGCTGCTTATGAGGTATCAGATGCTAAAATCACGTCAGAGAGAAAGGGGGTGAAGTTTGGAAAGCAAGAGAGTAATCGGCATGGATATTTTAAAATAAATTGTCTAATGATAACGAAAGCTCTTATATAGCACTTTTCATGATCAAAATCCTGTACAGGCATTAGCTAATACTCACAACCCCCCTGTAAAATAGGAAGTAAGTATCGTTATACATATTTTATATATAAGGATTGGAAAGGTATATTTCATATTCCATTGAAAAGCTTTGTAATCAGTAGTGTCCAAAATTTCCTTTTAGTCTTGATGGTTCCTACGATGATGCTCTTTCTTAAAACTATCACTAATAGTTTTGTTTCTCGTTACTCTTGTAACAAACAGTAGAGATGATCCAAGGTTTTCAAAATATTGATGGGGAAAAAAGGAAAGAATTTTTTTTCTACCAGCGGTAATAAATAGCAAGTCCTGAACCTTGAACTGGTGCTAAGTTACAGAACATGTTCAGTCTTACAGAGGTACATGCTTTCTGCTTTTTCTTCTTATAATTTTTTAAAGGACAAAAAGAAAAGTTGCATATTTCAGAAATGAATGTAAAGTGAATTGCAGAGAAGGAGAGGAGTCATGTGATAAGCTAACAAGAGATAGAAAATTCCACTGAAAGTAAGGGTATATCTATACAGGGATAAAAGACCTACAGCACAGCCAGGACTGGCCCAGGTCAGGTGACTCTAGCTCATGGGACTAAAAGTCGCTGCGTAGACATTTAGGCTCTAGCCCGAGCTCTGGGACCTCCACCCTTGCCGGGTCCCAGAGCTCAGGCTCCAGTCCAACCCTGAATGTCTACATTGTGATTTTTCACAGTCAGGAAATGAATGTAGCCCACGAAAGCTTATGCTCTAATAAATTTGTTAGTCTCTAAGGTGCCACAAGTACTCCTGTTCTTTTTGCGGATACAGACTAACACGGCTGCTACTCTGAAACCTTTATTTCACAAGCCCACTATATAGCTTCCCTAGTCTAAGGTAATATTTCATACCGCTTTTAAAACAAATTCATGTGTGATGATCTGACTAATGTAACAATAGCAAGGAGCAAAACTGCTACCCACTGCAAGACCATAAATTTCTTGTGATTTAAGAGAGAAAGAGTAAATATTAGGGCCCAATCATGTGATCTTCAAGCAAAATAGCAGTGTAGCCTGAATAAGAAATTCAGGATTGGGCTCATGGTTTTACTTTGCAGTTTACTGCCTAAGTACATTGATGCAGGCACCAAGATACAAAGCAAAGAAGATAATGGTTTTCAGTAGAGTGACACAGAAATGCCTTTTCTCTCTAGTGCTGGATCATTTTCTGTTTTTAGTTTATATTTGAAAACACCATTTCAGGTGTGCAGAGTGGTTTTTGTTGATGCATTTAGTTGCATTGAACTAGAGCCACGCCCTCTTTCCTTATGCAGCCTCACTGAAGTCAGTGGAGCTACTCATATGCATAAATGCTACTTGCATGACTAAGGGCTTGTAGGATCTGGATATTAGCTTGTAGTTAGGTCTTTATCTAGCAAACAAAGAGAATTAAGAAAAGGAAGACTAATGCTACAGCTCCTGTGAAAGCACATCATGGGTGCTATGTTCTATTAGCATTAACATTGACTTTCATTGTTTCCGGCTTTCAGAGCTGGAATTGCTGCAGAAGGCATAAATTTATCCTAAAGAGATGAGGAGTGCTCTGGGTTGTTTAGGATTAACTTCTCCAGCAGATTGAAAGGTGTCCCATCCTGACATTGGCTGGAGAATGGCTAAAACAGAACTGAGAAGGGACATGTAAAGTGTGACTGGTTCAGAAACTTTCACCTCTAGGTCACTGCATTGAACCTAGCCCAGAACAGTAATGACTGAAAGTCACTATTACCACCTGGTGGCTGTTCAGTAGCTTATGTGAAATGATTTGATGGCTAGTCCAAGTGCCTACATCATAAAATTCCATGTCATTGTAGACACCTGTTTGCAGTCTCACCTAAACCCAAGCCACAGGGGATCAGACACAAGAACTACATCCTGGGTTCTGGGCATGGGTTGGATTGAGGGGACCACAAAATTCTCCTTACACACCAATTTCTCCCTCCTAACACATCAATGAATCTACAGTAACAAACTCATTGCCATTAAACCAAAGATTGACAACTAGAGTCCAAATACATTAATACAATTGAAAATAGAAATCTGACTGAGCAATACAACCATACCATGCACCTCCACAAGAGCTTGCATGCATGCCATGTTTTATTTAAATGGGAACATATAATGTAAAAGGTAGTTAACTTACCATGTAGTGCTTCTTGATATAAAAAACAGATTTATCTTCTGAGTCTTCTTGTTTTGTCAACCCTGCTGGAATGGATACAAAAAAAATCTCAATGCAGTGCATCAACATGTTTAAATAGTGCCCTTCAGAAAGGATTCAGGAGCAAATATGTACAGTTGCACTGGGCAACTGCACTTGCAGAGTTCAAGTTAAACAAATATCTATTGCAGGGTATCTCTCGTAATGAGGTTGTTCTCTCACATTTTTTCAAGGGTCATGGTCGTAACCTGTGAATTGTGTTTTTCAGATTTGCGAAATTGCTAATCAACATTTTTACAAAATTACACAATATTATAATGAAAACATAACATAAAAGCATGTGGTGCAAAAAAGTGAGAGTTCATTTACTGCTGAAATTGTTGGATTCCTATTTTACATTTAAACTGTATTTTAATACAGTCAAATTGAAGAAGTAATAACATTTTTATTATATTGAATAAATTATAGCTGGCAGTAAGAAAATAGGCATTTTAAATTAATGAGGACATTTTGCACAGTCAGATGAAATGACAGTTACTAAACAAAAATATTGAGGTATACAGTTAAACACTCAGTAGAACTACTACTTGCCTGTGTGAAGTCACTCCGATGCAAGAGTGTTTGCAGGATTGAGGCCCTAATGTTTGGTATGATATACTTGCGGTGTTCTCTAGAATGTCGACACAGCCAGTTGACTCAGGAACTATGATTACTAATGCGATTTGATAAAAATATACACTAGCTGCATATTAAAAGTCATGAACTTGTATTTTATTAATACTGACAAAAAGATACTAACAGGTTTTCTCAATAGGTGCTGTTTCTACCAGTATGAAATTTATTTTTTTTTAATAATCAATTTCAGACAGATTAAAAATTCAGACCATTAGGATCTGTATTTCTTTTCTGTGTTTGTGAATATTTTTCTAACCTTTTTGTCCAGAAAGGCCTTTCAGACTGAAAAATCATTAGCATACAGTACACTTCGTGATTTGCAGTAGAGTGCGCCACATCTCAGTGAACTGTGTCTTTATTTGTCCCAGTTTTTAAGTGGCCGGTCTATGTTAAGAACATAGGAACATAAGAACGGCCATAATGGGTCAGACCAATGGTCCATCTATCCCAATATCCTGTCTTTCAAGAGTGGCCAATGCCAGATGCTTCAAAGGGAATGAACAGACCGGAAATTATCAAGTCGTCCAGTCCAAGCATCTGGCAGTCAAATTATGAGGTATGATTAGACCTTGACTGACAACATCTCTCACCTTGAAAAAAGCCTGATAGTTGGGCAATCCTAAATTCTTTAGGCTCCTCTGGAGCATTTTGCGATAAAGGATCACTTTGCCTTGCCTTGCCTTTAGCATTGTTAGTGGGATCAATGGAAGAGAAAATATGTGGTCTGACTGGAAATTCCACTTTCTAGACTGAACATCCATGCCGCACCAAAATCCCCATGTAAATTGCCTTCCCAACACCCAGTGGATGAAAGCCACCAGCTAAAGACACTGTCACAAGTGTCAGTGGCAATAACCACCCCTGGATTTTGTTACTAAAAGAACTATGGCTTGACATGCAAACAGAACTGTAATTTTTAAAACTATGACAAAGAACAAGAACTGAACAGGAACATTTGATAAAGCAAAAGAAAATATCTTTCAAGGTGATAGCCCCAACATCAGAATAAATATGTGCTCCCTCATCACTGCCTATGACAGCTTGTTACATTTTTTAAAAGGCCCACCAGTCCGTGTGCACTACCAAAGTTATTCCTAGATTGCAAGAGACTAGAGAGGCCATTGAAGAGAAAAATAATATAGATAGAAAAGCTAAAACATTACAGGTCTAGTTAAGATTATTCCCTAATGGCTAGTGATGTTACTTTTTGGATAAGAAAAGATTTGCACATCTCCAGGAAGTCACAGCATTAACAAAATTCCAAAATCAACTCTCTCTCAAGAGTTCTGGTGAGCAGGGACTTTGTTGTTTTAGGATTAGCGAGAGAATGAAAAACAAATAATGAAGGCCTTTTGATAGCAGTAGGGGCTCTCTAATTAAAAATTTGCTTGTTGTGGACAAAGAATGTAATTGCTTAAATGAACCTGTCTTTAATTAATTAGAAAAGCAATCATCTCAGTCACTGTGCCAAAATATTGCAGTTAAGTTGAAAAATTTTATTGAGTGAATTGATGTCATTGTTTTATATAATGCTGTTATACTGATAATTATTCTTAATATAATTTCCTGAAACTTTAAAACTTTTATGAGACAAGTGATTTTTAATGTTAAAACAGGTTGAGACAACTTTGATTAAAGAGAACAGTTGGCTGGATCATGTTTCATTAGGAATTACTGCTACATAATTTTGAATATAATCATGTATAAGATAAAATACGTTATGAATTAAGTGCACTTTAGCAATACATAGATCAGTTTAAACACTTACATTCGCATTTTCTCTAGCTCAGACACAAAGGGATTTGAAAATTGGTTTGATCTATTTATCTAATCCAGATGTAATGAGCTAGATCCTCCAGTCACTAAATCCATGTTATGCTGTAGTGCTCAGCTGGTGGAAAGTGGACTCAAACTGGTCATAAATAGTCAGCAGAGAATTCCCCCAGTGCTGAGAAGTTCCCCACTAGTGCAAAGCGGGAGAAGATAGTAGAGCCAGCTGCTGTGCTGGATACTTCTATCCTCCTGGGGTAAGGTCATTGAGAGAAATTTATGTAAGTGGTGTAAACTAGAGCTGCTTCTGGCTGACACTCCACTGTATCCAAGCAGAGCTCAGATGGGGCAGAGAATCCAATATACAATGCAAATATAGTAAAGTTTTAAAAATTTAAACCATTTGACTTAGTATATTAATCACATGTGCAATAAGTCACTTCTGCAAGTTGAAGTTGAAGCTAGACAAATTTGGGCTGGAAATAAGGCATAAATTGAGAGTAATTAACCACTACAACAATTTAGAAGGTAGATTCTCTATCACTGTCAATTTTTAAATCAAGATTAGATGGTTTTTCTAAAATATATTCTCTAGGGATTATTTTGGGGAAGTTCTATGGCCTGTGTTGTACAGGAGGTCGGACTCACAATGGTCCCTCCTGGCCTTGGAATCTATGATCTATGAAACCTTTTGTGTCTGTGACAACGTCAATAGTTAATCATTTTACTACAAAGCCAGACAAACTTTTTGTAGTCATTTTGTAGCAGAGTAATCTGTGGGCATGCATATAGTAAAATCCTATCCTTTACCAAATACTGCATAATTTTATAGATGGTTTAGCATCCTTTTACTAAAGTTCTTTGAGATAAAATGGGATGCAATGGTTTTAAGAACTGATCATTTGAGACTGAGTTTCCACAGTGTGCTTATTTCTATGAAATTTCTTGCGTTAAGAAAAAACAGCAGAAGTTCTACATTCAGGTTGTTGGTTTAGCGCTTGCGGCTCAATCAGCACAGAGCTGCAGCCCATGTGACATCCTCAGGGCGCTAGAGATAGTATTGGATGCGGCCCACATAAACACATTGTGGGCCACAATGGTAAATAGGTTGAGAACCACTGGTTTAGTGGGAAACAGAAATAGAGTACAGGTTTAATGAAGTGTTTTGAGACCTTTTGATCAAAGGTTCTGGGTAACTGCAGTGTATTTGTAATGTATTAAAATAGGATTTTTATTATTGTTGTTATTTATTTATTTAATATTTATATTGCAGTATCTCCTACAGGACAACCTGGCTGGGGCACCATTGTGATAGTTACTGTACAAACATACAGAACATGAGAGTCCCTGCCTCAAAGAGTTTTAAGGCCCTATAGTATAGAAGGAACGGAGAAACACAGTAGAATAAAATTTGATGTTTTAGGTCTAGGAGTCAGGAAGGAACTTGCCCCCATGTCGAGCCTCCCAGAATTAGGGGAACTCCTAGATCTTAAGAGCAAGATTGCTTTCTTCTAAAACATCAGACAATGGCCAATGTCGAGGTAGGTGACTGAAGTTGGTGGATCAATAGTTTGATCAGGAATGGCAAACCTCACAGTACGTTCAGTTTGATCAGAGCAAAAACATGTTTTCACAGGTTAAGAAAAGGAATCTAAAAAACACGTTAGTATACTAAATATGATTTAGAATCTAAAGAGCTGAGCCAGAATACTCTTTTTAAAGGGAAAAAAATGCACATCCAGGCATAGTCTCCTATGACAATAATAATAATGAGCAATTACAATAATATGAATAATATTTTGTTATAAGCCATATGGTTCTCTGTTATTGCTGTAAAAGCTGATGAAGCATTACATAAATCAACTAACCATGGGGGTTAAGGGATGTTGGATAATACAAATACATGGAACTAACAGGAAAAAATACTCTTTCCAGAGCTGAAATTTTAAAAGTTTAAACAAAAAGCATAATAGAATATTTTCATATTAGACTACATTTTATGGGGTAGTTTTTTTCCCCACTGTATTTTTACAAGACTTTAAATTTTATCATTAATTCTGTTAATTAATAACCAATCTATCTTCAGTATTTATATGGCCCCCATCACCATAGTACCTGAGCACCTCACAATTTTTAATGTATTTATCCTCACAACATCCCTGTGAGGAAGGATTATCCCCATTTTACAGATGGGGAACTGAAGCACAGAGAGGCTAAGTGACTTGTCCAAGATCACACTGGAAGTCTGTAGATAAGCAGGGAATTGAACCTAGATCTCCCAAATCCTTTGTTAGTGCCCTAACCACTGGATTATCCTTCCCAGAGTATAAAGATGAAGAGCCTGAATCTCTTGCACTAAGGCCCCTCTGAACTGCCAAAACAGTGAAAGGAGTTGTACTGTAAATGAGAATCAAGCCCCACTTTCACTTTCATCTCTCTAATTATTAATTTAAGTAAACAAGGAAACCTTGTAAATTGCCACAATCCATAAGTCTCCCAGGCCATTCTTTTTTTCCCCTTGTCTTTATTTTAGATTGTAAGCTTCTAAGTCCTTCTGATACAGAGCTGAAGCACTATCATTGTCTATGTACCCAGTCTG